TCACCCTCAACAAGCTCCACATTGTTTGCACCTAGTGCAGTATCTTGCACTGTACTGCCGTTCGAATGCTTGCTGTTCCTCCTGTTTTCCTCCTGCCAGAGGGTCCAGGAGTTTGGAGGCTGAGGAAGCTATATACTGGGGACCTGCGTCAGTGTCTCTTTTACCTAGAAATCACAATTCAAACTTAAACGGTGTATTTTCCAAATACACAAGGCTGGAATAAAGAAAAAAATGTCAGGAAAAAGTAGAAGCATGCCAAATTAAAGCACTATTTTGCTGTACATATTTTGGGCAGTTCAATATCTCTTATACAGGCAACAAGGGGCAATTCGGCCGTTTTCAATGCTATCATACAAGCATATTTCCAGTAATTGTGCGTATTTTAAAAAAATATAACAATCCTGAATACATGTACGGATTATATTATTAATTCACGTAGAAGCTACACTTATGTAAAACAAACCTCTGGACTGCACGTGTCTGCGATAGACTGCCTGTGTCTTGCTCCGCGATTTTCCGTGCACGGTGCATCGCTCGGCGGCGTGCGTCGCGCGGTTCATACCCACATGTATCTCCCGCTCTAGTCCAGCGTGCTTAATCCGCGAGCCACCGTCGGCCGCCAGTGATGCTTAATTCACATGCAGCGGTTTTGGCCCGAGAGTGGCGCGATTTCTGCCATCGCAGCGCTCTGGCCAGCACCAGCGGTTGAGCGGCACGAGCGCCGCGACGGTAGAAATCGCGTCGCTCTATACTTCGTTTCACCTTATGTGCGAGCGAAGGCAAAGCTGGAAGCGCGAGCACGGAAGCCCTGTGCGTTCAGGCTTTGCTCGAGCGCGCAAGCTGGGAAGAAACGCACAAAGCGCTGGTCTCGCGCTTCTAGATTTGGCTTCGCTCGCAGAGAAAGTGAAACGAAGTATGGGGCCAAAATCGCTGCATGTGAAACACGCTTTAGCCCAGCATGCAAGTTTTTTCTACGGGCGACTGCCGGCCGCGAGTCACACTCAGTCCAGCATACTTTGTCCGCAGGTAAATTTCGGCGGCAAGTGACACTTAATCCACCGTACTTATTCGCCGGCGACCTTCGGTGGCGAGTCGTACTTAGTCTAGAATAATTATTTCGTAGGCGATTGTCGGCGGCACGTAAAAAATAGTCAAGCCTATTTAATCCACAGGCGAATTTCGGCGACAAGCCACATTGAGTCCAGCACAGTCCAGCAGTATAGTCCAGCAGTGCGGACCACATAAATGGCCTGTGGACCACCTAGGTGGTCCACAGGCGACCGTCGGCATACGCAGCTTGCTCCCGAACGGCGAAACGCAGCTCCCCACTTGGACTCACGACGTCACGGGGCGGATCATAGGTTCATAACGTACGAAGGGATAGCTCAGTGGGCGCATGACGTCACAACTTGAGACAGAGTGTAAAATACGCGATAAACCTTCTCCCCTCGCAATCGCTTCGGCTACCAAAAAAAGTTGCTCGCAATCCAAGAGCACTATTCAAGACCCTATACGCGACTTCAGCAAAACGGACACACTGCAGCTTGCGGGAAAACACTCCTTTCGCGATTTCTGGTCCTCTCTTGTGGCTTCCGCGATTACACGTTGTCGGTGGTTGGCGCGATGGAACAGTTGTCACGGTGACAGTCATTTCTGCCGTATTAGCGTGTTCCCCAGGTAGCTCTTAAGGAAAGCTGCATGCGTTACTGCGTGGACCGGACATTGTGCACTTATCAACGTTCGTCAGCACCGCGGTCCTCCCATCGCTTCCTCGAAGAAGGTCAAGCCTCTGGAAGCTCGCTTACGCCAACGCATCCTCGCAGGTTTGAAACGTATGCGGAAGGCAAGTTTGTCTGCTTCTTGCAAAGGGATTGCGATGATGTCAGAACCCCGAGCTCTTATTGACTGATAGAAAAATATTGTGGGTAGACCTCGAGGCATCCAGCATTGAGGTCAATCAGAGCTCGGCCAATCAGAGCTCGGCGTCGTTCAGAAGTCATCGCAACTCCTTCGCAGGAAGCAGACGACTTGCTCTCCGCATAATGAAGAAAACTCGGGGTAAACCATTATGAGTCTAAGGCTTGCCTCCTGAAACCCGAGCTCTGTGCATTGAGCCGGCACAAGGCCCAGCATACAAACCTGTCTTCATAATTTTGTTAAGCCCGGAGAACACGGTCTTATGTCGTGTGTGCAGCGCGTCCCAAACGAATCGAAGTTCTCCGTAACCAAGCATAGCAAACCATAAGCACATGTAGTGCGTGCACGAAACAATATGTACTTCCCAATTATATAATCAAGAAAACATTTGTTTCATGACCTATGTGGCAGGACTGTCATACACAAAAGAAACAAGGCCCCAGACAGTGTCTGCAGTCTCTGTTCTATACATCCTCGATTCAAAAAGAATTCGCCGCGCAAATACATGGATACTACATACATACCGGCAATGCCGAAGCCGAGGGGTAAGGGCGTGAGTTCGCGGGAGACGCATCAAGACTCACCCTACCCCCCGCGCAAGTTCAATTGGGGCAACACCTGGGCTGTGAAACACCGCAGGCGTGTCGTCGTCACTTCCGTCCCCCATTCGGACAACATATATGCTGAAACACCCGATCCGGCTCTTTTCTCCGTTATCTATTACCTCTCAATTTGTCCATTGGTTAAAAATAAGGAATCTGAACTTTGCATTCCTTTTTCCTTCTGACCACCTATACCTCCTCTTCAAACCCGGCAGGTACTATCGCGGACACTATTAGCTATACCACGACAGCCGTGGTCGTTCCGTGTCCCAGTGCCACGTATACCTGGCGCACTCCGAAGCACTCCGCAACCCTGTGCGGGGGAATTACTCTTGCAGGTTGAGAAGACTCTCTCTCTGTCGCCTGCTATAGGCGCAAAGTAGACGCCGCCACAGCATTTACTAATGTTTGCTTCGCAGATTTTTGTCGGTGCCTCTGTCTGTACAATGATTCCCTGACTAACGGAAACGAGTTAGCCAAACCACCAACGAAGGGGACCTACCGAGCTAAGCGTAATCGTTGTCGATGATTTTACACATATCTCGGTAGATTACATTTATTAATCTGAAGGACGTCTGTTCATGGCATTCTCTTTTGTCAGTATTGCTTTTTTAATTATGCTTAGCTCGGTATGTCCCCTTCGTTGGATGTTCAGATGACTCGTTTCATGAGTCAGGGAATCTCCGTACCGAAAGGGGTACCCGCACAAGACTGTGAAGCAAACATCGGCAAGTGCTGTGGCGGTGTCCGTTTTTTATTCAGCATACGAAAAGGAGAAAGTTATCGCAACCCGATTCCGCCGCACAGGTTAGGCGGAGTAGGCGCGGTGTTTCAGAGTGCCCCTGCTATGTGGCGCTGTGGGTGCGGAACGGCGACGGCTGCCGCGTTATAGCTAAGAGTGTCCGCGATAGTACACCAAAAGAAGCATGAATGACTGTTTTAACTCATATTGTCCGCGATAGTACACCTCGCCCAGAACATGTCATTTCGACGTCAAGAACATCATGATTCAAACTTAGTAGCATGTTCCGGGGATGCACCGTTTCCCATCACCTTAGACTTTAACAAGAAAATTCATGTTTACTCATATTTCTCACTGTGGCAACCTACCACAAGTAACAGTACCTGTGCGTATTTAGTTTTAAAAAGGGGTAGACAGGGGCTTTGACACATGTATGAATTGTGTTACTTACCGTATACATGCTTAAGCAACCTTAAAGCATGTGTTCCGTGTGACCGAGTAAATGAAGTGTGAATGTGCTTCGAAGTGTTTGTTAAGCGCAATAACAGCTATCGCTGTCATTTCTTCGCCACTGTGACGAAAAAATACGGACTGTATTATTTTAACGTTCCTTTTTTTGTTTCTTTGTTGTGTCCCCGAGTGAGGTGATTGTAATTCCGGTGACTTACCCCCGTCTGAGATTATAATTTTCAGGGGTGTGGGCAGAAAAGCACCGGCGAAGTACCGAGCCTGCCTCTTTCTGAATGCCTGACTGCGACAGCAAAGGGTATCATACCCGGCGCCAAGATAGCTTCTATCACCCGCATGAACCTCATAAAGGCTCGTTCCCACGTATACCATAGCGCATTGCGCTGACTTTGGTGATGCAGGGCATCACCAAAGTCAGCAGGTGAGGTATCGTTCACCTCTAACGCGTATGTTTGAACCAGCCTAATTGATCTCAGGTGAACTATACCTCGCGGCATTGCGAGGGGTGAGGAGGAAATATAGCGCTAATTTGGCGCTATCGGCAGCGCCGCCATAACAACGCTGCGCCGCAGGTGTGAACCGGCCTGTGTGAAGAAAGAACGCTTTGCTCTGCTCCGTTTCCCTTTAAGCCCGACCACGCTATCATCATCTGAAGCCAATCAAGCGTGATTGCTCTAGTCGGTAATGGCAGACGCACTAAGATGATAAGTGCCGTGCCGATGCACTGTATTGGCTTCGAAGGACGATAGCGTTGGCTGCCTACGATCAAACTTAAGGTGTAAAGAAGTTTAGGATGCATGTCACCGTAATAGTAAAAACGGGCCAAGAAACCTTACACTTTCAGCTTAGGTCCAGATATAGCCGACGTTACGAGCTGATGGGACCGATGGAGCCGCGTGAAAAGCGCATGTCACTGGGCCTTTTTTGATTGCGATTGATTATGCAATGATGGAACACGTACAGAAACATAACACCGCGATGGTGCGTTTTTGACGGCTGTCTGATTAGTCCGGTAAGCTCGTAGCGTCGACTGCGCCTGGGTTTCAGCTGAAGCGAAGTAGAACTTACCCACGCACATGCTGGCAGTTATCCGGCCGACGCCGCAGCCTGAACTCTGGCGGCAAGGGCGAGTCGAAGGCGTCGAGCGGCGTCCCGCCCAGCGGCCCGATAACATCGTAGCCGCGCCGGCGAACCCCAGCGCTGCCAATGGAGCCGCGGGGGCGGGGTTCTTCCATGCCAGCCCATCGGGCCTCCCGGCAGGAAGAAACCCCGGCTCAGAGGAACCCCCCGAGCCACCGACGCGCGGGAGTGCCGCCGAGGACGCCGCTTGGGGTAAGCTTTTGCTCACCGGACACCAGCGACTCACGTCACGGGGCCGTCTAGCGCGGGCAGTTCACTTCAGGAAGACCCCGAAAACTGAGGGTCAGAAAAAAAGCAAAAGAGGCAACAGAGGCACGAGGAATCCCCATGACCCTTTTGGCGCCCATAAGTCTAAATACGCGTTAACAAACTAACGTTTGCTTACGTTCCGTTAGGTTACGGGAACTTATATACGTTTGCTTACACAGACAATCACCGTGCATCCGTGCTTCGTATGATGGCAACAAATTCAAGAAGTAGCACAGATGTTCCGGGACTTGTAAGCAACTTAACGTAAGGAAACGTAAGTAAACACCCATGTGTGAATTGGTATTTAGGCTCTTAAAGGGGCCATGCAGCGATATTATTTATTCAATTGCAATATTTCTCATTTACGCAAGTTTGCTGGTACTTTTAGCGCCGAGAATATCGGTGGCGCCTTCTTATGGCTCCCCTTTCGTGACGTCACGAGTTGTAACCCTAGCTACTTATCTTGAGTTGTGACCTGCAAGTTGGATGGTGTGTATAAAAAGCACGAAGGAAAGCTTGGGGTCATCGCACTCTATAACCTACACCGAAAAAGTTGGCGGTCGGATATTGTTCTTATTTCCGTCGATGAAAGCAAAATTAATCCAAATAATGTCGTCACAGTGAACGTTTGGCCGACCGCAAATGCCGATTGCAGTGACGCATTTGGTTGCGCAAGTCGCCAACAGTGTTGCGGAGTTGCTACGCAGTGTTACTTACGGAGTTTCCACTCCGGAGTTGGAGTAATTCCGGAATAATTCCGCACCTTCGCGTCCCCAGAATGAAGTGCGAATAGAGTGGCGGTAGCAGTGGGAGGAGTGGAATCCGAATGGAATAGGACGCCTTTTGCCGGAATGAAGTTGGAATAGAATGGGGTAGGCTCTTACGCGTGCTGTGAGGGCCTATGGCCTGCGGGCGCACTGCTAGCACAGGGTCAAAGTGGCTCTTGTAACAGCATTATTGCCCTTAAGGCACAGTTGTACGATAGTGATTATAAGGACTCAAATTAATTGTAACCAATTATTTTAGGAGTAATTTTGCAATTATTTGATTACATTTGTTTCAAAGTAACCAAGGAGTAATCTGATTACTTTTAGAACTACTAAAATTACATGTAACTCTTACTAATTTTCCCTCACCTTTCTAAAGGCCCCCTTTGCCTGTGCGAGTTTTCTTTTAATACATTTTCGTTCTATGTCTCTGACAGGAGGCTGGTTTATCAAAATTATTGGATTAATACCCCTGTCAGACGGGCATTTTAAAGGTCTTTAGAACAAGCTCCTTTATAAAGTCGGCAAACCAGCGCATGCCGTAGGGCGTGCGCTGGTTTGCCGACTTCAGGAACTGTGAACTAAACCCTAGGGTTTAGTTCACAGGAGGCAAAGGGCAATGCACAAGAGGGCTCGTGCAGTCTCGCGCTCCACACGAAATACTAAAGTTGCCTCAGTGCATTGCGCCAGCGGTGGCGTAGTCTAACTGGCTGGTAAGATCGGACTATTGAATATGTAAAAAAAAAAAAAAAATCATGAGCCATTTCACTCTGTGAAGGTGGATGTGCAGAGAAGCTGTTTAGCACACGACACACGCGTGACACAGAATTTTGAACCAAGGTACAAACTAATTTTTTGTCTTGGTCGATGGTTATCGTGACGAAAGAATGCGCACACAGATGTATTTGATGCGTTCTCCGCCCCGCGACGTTCGTCGTCTTGTCTGGTTTGCCACATGGCGCTTGGCGTTTTGTGCGCGATCTTCATCGGTGGTGTTTGCCGCCTGCCGCCGACGCTGACATTATCGGTGCGGTTCCCGCCGTTGCTCTTCGTAGGCGCGTTGCTCTTCGGGAGTCCGGACTATATACACGAACTCAACTCTGTTACGCCACGGCGCGGTGGTGGCGCGTCTGGCGCACTTCCGGTCTGGGGCTGTGGGGAGAAGTCCCCATGCGAGAAATGTATTCCTGCGTTGTTTTGAAAGGAACCGGACAAAAACCTGCCTTCTCTTCAAAACGCCGCGACTGGGGTTGCACCAAAAGAGTCTAGAAAGGTTTGAAGTTCAGAATTCACGTGCTCGGTTCGTCCGAGAACGTGGATATGTACCGTGAAAATGAAAAACTAGACGCCGTTGGACCACGATTGCTTGGGCGGGATGCACTTTGGGTTGAATTCACGGATACTTATGGTCACCCGATTTATTTGTTTTGTTCCAACATGAACGTCGAGAAACCATCAAGTTGTGCAGATCATCGGCGGACTACGTTCAGTGCATCTTCAAGTTCAAACGCCACCTGATCGTTCGGACTGTCCTCTGCCCTTTCAAACGTTTCCGCTTGTCGTCTGCTCTTTTAGACGACACAGGCCTGTAGACCAAATGTTGGCTTGGTGCTTGCGATAAGAAGTAAGTGCAGGCCTCAAAAGACTTAAGTTTGAAGGTTGGTAAGCAGGCTCGACGTAAACGGTAGATACAAGGAGATGTTGATCATTGTAATCAGCGACCATCACCGACTTGTTATGCCTAATTTACTTGGTCCGATTGTGCTTGCGATTTTTAATATCGACGTCGACCATCTCAGCTACGGTTCACGCTTTTGCAGCCCGAATGACGTCGGGACTGAGAATTGCGAGCGAAATCTCATCACGCGAATTAGGCTTTATAGCGTACGTTCTGCGGCGTCCACGCGGAATGAATCGCCGCATGTCGCAATTTTTCCCGCGAACTTTCGCAATGTAACGAGCCTCGTTATTTCCGCTGAGGCCGCTCAAGTAGTCAGACATTGCCAGGAAAACGTAGAATCAACAATTCGAACGCGATAAAGGGCAGGGAGACTCACACCGACGCCGACAACATTGCGTTTCAATGGTTTGTTTATGGGCGACGGCGAGCTTCTTGCCCACACTCCATCGCGCATGCGCAGCGCCGGTGGCGCTCTCTAGGGGCGCTCCGGTTTGTTTGTAAAGATGAGTTGGTGTATACGTGGCCTCCCCATTATGACGAGAGAAGAGAAGGAAAATAGAGTTATTGCTAAATTACCTAAGCATCAAGGAGCATGCAGGGAGTGGTGTTTCACGCGCCTTACGTGCCGGCGTCTGCAGCATGATAACCTCCTATATACTGACAAAGCCTGGCAGATCGTCGCGAAAAGAGGCCGCCGAAATGGAAAAGGTGGAGCGGCAGACAGCGGATGAAAGGAGAGCCACGTGACTGGCACCCCGCTGCGGCGAGACGCCGAGACGAACTGGAGAGAAAAAAAGTAATGCGTGTCTTTTCGGTTGCGAACGTCACGGATTTTTTCTATGCCAGCGAGGAAAAAAAATTATGATTTTTTAAAAAAATATGTTGTATGTCAGATTTTGGATTTAAATCAGATTAATGCGATTTAAATCACCGTAGCTAAAATATAGCAATTCGTTATTGCTAGATATATTTTCAAAAATGGCAGATTGGTAATATATCCGTCCAATCACTACTAGTGATACCATACAAAAGAAATAATGAGTGTAAATTAAAAGTAAATTTTGATTAAAAACTTTTTATGTATCTAAAACTTGTCATACTAGGGCAAAGGCAACTTGATAGTTTTAGATTAAAAAGCTTCATTTGCTTTTTCTTTTGCATTCTGATCAGTTTAGAATAGGACGTTACTTTTCTATTTCTTCGAATTTTTCTCCGCGTTCAAATTAGCTTGCCCAATAATATATTATGTAACTCAGGTTACATAATATATGTAACCATATATTATGGTGTTTCTACCTTCTACTTCTAGGAAGTAGAGGGTAGAAAAAAAAAACTCAACGCTTTTACACATTTACACATTTACACTGAACAGCACTTCCTTTTGCTCGGGCTCAGCCTGATATAAATTTCCTTTGCTCGATGATCATTTGATGTAAGAAAGACGGAAATGCACATAAAAGCATCGCATGATGGTTAAACGACAAATAAAAAAAACAATTTCGGAGTCACTTTGGCGGGAAAGGTAGATGTCCATCATTAGACAAAAACTGGCCTGATCTAAAGCATGTTTGAAATTATGATTGAAATTACACTTCATATCATCTTGATTTTTACGCCCCAACCTGTTCTATGTGATTTACTTGCTGGAAGAACAAAAAATGAAAGACGTTTACAATCCCCAGTAACGCCGAATTAGAGCACAGCTCTTGTGGAGGGGAGGCGAAGGTACGGAGAGGATGGTATGCCCCGCCTCCTCATCCACACCCTCCGCTCCTCCTCTTCTGCTGGTCTCCTATTTAGGGGAAATTTCCCGTTAAATTTAGCGGGGAATTTTTTCCTCTAATTTAGCGGGGAAATTTTGAGCTAAACTTAGCGGAGAGATTTCCCATCAAATTTAGCGGGTAACATTTTCCGCTAAACCTAGCAGGGAAATTATTCCACTAAAGTTAGCGGGGAATTTTTTCCGCTAAATTTAGGGGAGAAATATTTTCGCTAAATTTAGCGGAGAAATTTTTCTGCTAAATTTAGCGGGAAATTTTCCCGTTATAAATTTAGTGGGGAAATTAGCGAGTTTTCGTAGACCGCGTTTCCCACTCCACTAAACCCTCCGCAACGAAGAAGCAGCTACTGCGCCTTCGCGCCGATGGCCTTGACTGTAGAGTTGCGGGTATTGGCGACGTGAGGCGATCGAAAGCGTCACTGTGGTCGGCCCACTCAAATTGGCCGAATGCTGACTATGACGTCAGCAAAGGATGTCTCTTCGACGGAAATAAGAGGAATGTCCGAACTTCAATTTTGACGGTGTTGGCAGTGTTGCTTTGAGAGCTCTAGGATTTCAGGCTTTCACCATGCTCAATACAGACACCATCGAACTTGTTGTTCACAAGAATGACGTCACGAAAGGTAACTAAACGAGGGCGCCACCGAAACATCTCGCCGCTAATAGTAGCGGGTTGCGGAGAGTGTTGCGGGGCGGTGAAAGTCATCTACGAAAA